AACTTATTACATAAAGATCATGGAAAGATACCATAGTTGTATCTAACAATGAACAATCATAATGACAAAACAGAAAACATAAAGATCATTGGTTTGTGTATATCATAATATGATATTTATACACAGGAAAAAAGAACAATAACAAGGCTAAATATCTTTAAATAGTTCTTCATAATACATTAAAAATTGTTTTGTTGTTATAAGTCTGAGGGATGAAACGAGAGGTAAATTCATCAAGAAAAGAGGAAAACTTAAAGGAGAAACTTTTTGGGTATAAAATAAAGAAATTAACGACATATTCAAGAGGTGACGATTTTGGGGTTTCTTAAAAAAAAATATCGTTATAAGGATAAAATTGTGAGTCACATTAGTAGGGTTTAAAATATGACAACTTAAATCAACCCTAAATGTATTCACAAAATAAATTGGCAGCTGTTTCTTCAACAATACCACAAGATGAGCAAGTTTCATCAATATCAAGATATTTACAGATAGATGAATTAAACGTGTCGTTCATCTTTTAAGTTGTTGCGCTTATGATAAGGCGTCGTAGGTCACATGATAACGTCAACATGGCGGATGATGTCGGATCGCATTCATACTCAACGAGATTTGGCTATAAAGGTACCTACTCTTTTAGCGCTCGTTAAGTAAGTACTCATTGAAATTAAGTACCTACTCATTGAGTATGCGATTCCGAACGCAGCCCGTGAGAAAGAGAGACAGGAAGCAAACAAAAACACAGGGCACACAACCACGCCCACCCTTTCAGAAGTAACGCAAATCAAAGAGGTTCAGAAGAAAATAATCATAATATTAATAAATAAATAAATGAATACGTCCTTGGTCCTTGGACGTAATAGTTGTTTGGCAAATATTAAAGGTAGGGTAGGCGATTTTTTGGAGAGGCTAGCAATAGCAAGCTAGCTATAAAAGCATAAGATTCTACCCTCCCTTCAGAGCACTCTCCAAAGCCACGCCTCCTTCAAAACACAAAAAGCTTCACGAGAGACGCCGGTTAACTACCTCATAACTACCTCAAAGCACATAACATTACAATAATAATGAACGTAAACAACTTAAAGAGCACTGAACTGTATCACCTGACTGCTGCAGATCCATTCCGGCATTGATAGTGTTGCCATTGAAACGCATAAATTTGAGTCACAAACCGCTCTGAATATAACGTCACAGGTTTCCATCTGTTCGAAATTACAGTAGTTATGGTGTGAACGAAGCATAAGCTTGTGGTTTTGGTTCAGGAGAAACTGTAAAAAGTGGCATCTGTTTCAATTGTGTGATCGGTGACTGAGCATGAAACACGCGGATGACGTGTGTATGGAAGTAAAATAATGACAAATGTTTTTGCTTGAAAAAAAGCTTGTTGAATTGCACTACTTGAAAAAATATTCATTGCATTAACCCTGCTTGCATTTTAATGCATTGCATTTTTAGGGCTTGCATTTTTATGGGCTGAAATTCAACATGGTTGTATATTTAAGCTGTGAATAATCCATAATCACCTTTCAGATTTCCCTTCCAAAATGTTCATTCTGTTTAAAAATACAGCCTATAATATTCGACAGGCAATTTTCAGTCCATTTGATTTCGCTGTACAAATTCGCTTCCATAAATTCAGTGGTTCAAATTCGACAGAAAATTTGACATTTGACATACGGGAACGGCAGGAATATCAGTAGATTGCCGATTGATAATCTCCATAACTGTTTAGTCGACCTCACCAGCAGGCACTCACCCCCTTTAAGTTGCAAGCGACTGTTGACGAAGACTAGAGCAACGGGTGAGAGTCATTCATTCATAAAAACGGATTTACCGAAATGGAGCAAGCGGTCAGTATTTGTGATGATTATCAGGGCGGAAAAGCTGATAAAGACTCAAAACCTGTGTTTACATTGAAGTCTTCGCAGTTAGTTTTGCATGTAAGCAGCTTTCTCTACCGTGAACGAGATTATAATGTTATTCCCCGATGCTGATGTACAGATCAAACATTAAATAGACATATATTTCTCTCGGTTGTTTAGTTTTCTTAACTTTATATCGCGGCGTTGTGCTGCAGAACTGAGGATTCCCAAAATACGTCATTCTCCAGGATACCCCTGCGGTCAGGACACTTAACGCTTAATGGACTAATACAGTCTAAAATATATAAAAGACCTCGCACCTTATTGGGAATGTAGGCTATACTATAGGGAACAGGCTTGATTAAATAAATGCTTGTTTATATTGAGGAGGACGTTTTAAGCTATGCAATGTATATGTCAAAAGATCAAGGCAAATTTGATTTCTCATGTCATGGCCCCTTTAAAACTAGCTAGTAACACACCTACTGCATGTGAGTTCATCCTATATTCTGTGTATATGGGTGTGTGAGTAATGGTGGTAAAAAATAAACACAATTCTTTGTGAATAATCAGAATAATGAAAATTGCATGTAAAAGGGAGTGAAGAGTTTTGCTTGAGTCATGTAAACATCTTACTGCTATTAAGTCCTTACTCTGTTTATTGGAAATAATCACGTTATTGGTGCACGTTAAGTCAATGGGAGATTCTTAAGGTACATTCACATTTACTGTGCTCCTTGAATTCATTCTAAATAACAAATTCCTATGGATAATTTGAAAAGTAATAAATTCTCCTTTAAATATATATTTTATTTTTACCAACCATGCATAAACTCACATATTATCATAGCACATTTTGTACGGAATACAGTGTATTCAGACTTTAGCCATTAAAACGTTATAAGTAGCAAACTAAGCCACAAATGCATGTTGTCGCAGAAAAGGCAGCATCAACCACTTCGCCAAAACAACTTATTCTGGTTAAGTACCGTCTGAATAACATTTTTAAAGTACAAAAACAAAAGGCGGAAATTATCCACTACTATAGTGTATGTTTGAATGGATTTGTAGCTAAATGTATTCCTGTAATAAAGCAAATGTGTATTTCCTCATTGAACAGATGCTATAGCCCAAAGCAATTTACAAATAGAGTAATTTAACACGAGTGGCCTAAGTGGAAATAAGCATCTCTTCTAGTTCTAATAGGGAGCCATAAGCTGATTAACTCTGACAAGGTAGTTTAAAGTTTTAGCTACTTCAACACACTCAAGCTCTTCAGCAAGACTAAAGGTTTGTAACCTGCACACTTGGACAGGCCTGTCATGTCCTTTTCCGGTAGTGCATCTCATACAGTCTTCATGCTTCCACCATCGTTCCTTGTTTTCCTCTAGTTTTCAAAAGATGGACAGATCAGCATAATGTTTCTGCGAATGAGGAGCTCTCTCGGTTCAGTCAAGGACTTGACTTCAATAATGAATACTATGTCTTTCAGCAGAAATGATTCATGCACCAAGTTTGAAAGAACCCAAAGACTAAAAATGTGCCAGTGTGAATCATTCAGATTGAAGACATTTGGAATTAGAAATAAGATAGATAACTCAAGGAATCATTTTATGCCAAGTTGCAAGAATTAGTCTTCATCCCGACCTTTCAAACGAGTGGAATTTGCTTACCAAGCCACTCCCCCGTACATACGGGTATATAAGATGGCGGCACGCATCCACTCATTCAGATTTATGCTGAGGATCCTAGACAGGGATCCCGGCCATTCAGCGGTCATTTCAGCGCCACAGCTACTGAACTGAGTTACGAGTGTTGGCGATGCAGATGCTGGCAAGCTGTAGTGTGCCATTTTGGCAACTGCCCTTACACAGTCGTAACCTACCCAGCGCCCCACTTAAGGCCAAAAATTAATAGTCCTCCATGCCAGCGGGATGGAATGGACAAGGCTTAACTCAGAGGTGATTGGGTCTCCCAAGTGAGTTTTCAGTCTTCGACATTTACAACGGGCTTTATTTCCTTTTTAAAACCCTGTAGGCCTGGAAGATGACAGTAAAGATTTTGAAAGGCCATAAGCTCTGTTTCAAACTCTAGTCTACATATGATCTATGGAACCTCATAAATGACTTGCTTGAAACACCAGCAACGAATAGGCAACAACACTCTTAATTGTCACTCATGCACATTACACAAATATCTATCCTTGCGTAAAGTGGACAAGAGACGGTGATAATGCTCAGAGCTGATTCCAGTAGTTTGGTGTTGACACGTCAGCTCCATGCTCTAATAAGCAAAACATAAATACACAAATATATACATTTCTCTCGACTCGTCTGTTATCATGAATCTATTGATTTTTTTCACAAAGCTCTTTGCAGTTCATTCTTGGAACATACAGTACATTATAAAATACAAGGGCATTATAAAATGTATCAGTTAGTTAAAAAGTGTAAAAAAAAAAAAAGAAGAAGGAAAATTGACATACACTATGACTGTTCAAAAGTTTTGGGTCAATTTATTTATTTATTTTAAAGAAATTAAAACTTTTATTTACTAAGAACTCATTCAATTGATCAAAAGTGACAGTAAAGTAATGTTACAAATAATTATATTTAAATGCTGTTCTTTTGAAAAAAAATATATATATATTTTGCAGCACATCATGTTACACTGAAGAAATAGCTGCTGAAAATTCAGCTTTGCCATTACAGGAATAAATAACATTTTAAAACATTAAAATAGAAAACATTTTTTAAATTGTAAAAATATTTCACTTATAAATTGCAATAATATTTCTGCTCTTAAAAAAGTTGTTGTTTATGATAAATACTTATCATACGTATTCACTTTTAATAATTTGATATACTTACTTTTAATTAGGCTCATATGGCAGGACTGATTGTTGATTTCTTTATGTTCATAATTTAGCAGTTTATGTGCTAATTATAAATAACTGATTTAAAATTGGTTCCAGGACTTCAGTCTGCATCTTAAAGTGTGATAAATAGATGTTAAGTACGAATGTTTATTTTTTTATTTTTTTATGGAAAACATTAGAAAAGGTGATATGGTCCTGTGTTTGATCTTTGAAAAAGTCTCTCTAAGCATTTAATTTACTCTGTTTTTTTTTTCTTGCAGTACGAGTTCAAGGCAAAGAGCGTGAAGAAGAAGAAAGTGAGCATAGGGGTTTCTGTAGACGGGGTCAAAGTGGTGCTGCGCAAGAAACCCAAGGCATGTGTCATCAGACCTACACCTCTGACATCACACATTGACCTTTACTGAATATCCTTATTCTGTATAACTACAGTCCTAGAAATTAGGAGTTTATATGTTTGTTCACATGCATAACGAGACCCTGACACTTGTCTTGTTTTGACCTCCAGAGGAAAGAGTGGACGTGGGATGAGAGCAAGATGCTGGTTATGCACGACCCCATATACAGGTGAGACAGAAATTGTAACAAAATAAATTGTATTTCAACCGTATATATTAAAGTTTAGCCTATGCTTTATTCTTTTTCTCCTCTTTTTCCTCTAAGGATCTTCTATGTATCCCATGATTCTCAGGATCTGAAGATATTCAGCTACATTGCTCGTGATGGATCCAGCAACTTGTTTAGATGCAATGTGTTCAAGTCCAAAAAGAAGGTAGAGTCTCCTTTCACTTAGAAAGAAAAGAAATGGTCTTCTGTTACTCTCTTTCTCTGCCCCGAACCAAAGAATAATATCATGCATGCCATTTTTTTCAGTCCGTCTTATCCTTGAGCGAAGGCCTTAACCATGAAATCCTTCACCTGTTTGTCTCTGTTGTCTCTGCTTTTCCTCTCAATTGTTGCACTTTGCTTTTTTCATAGAACTGTAGTAGCACAGAATGAACAATAACACAAAGCACAATAAAAGGATTTTATATGATACAATCAAGAAAAGCATGTCAAAAAGCTATCCTGCAATATCCTATCCAAAATATTAAGAAAAGAAAATATATATTTTATAAATATTTTTGGTCAGTGTATTTTACGAATAACAGTATATAAGGTATATACTGTATATCTTGTACATATAAGATTCTCTAAATGTCTCTAAATCTCTATTTTCACCTCTCTCCCCGCTCAGAGTCAGGCCATGCGGATAGTGCGGACAGTCGGTCAGGCGTTTGAGGTGTGCCATAAGCTGAGTCTGCAGCACGCTGAGCAGAATTCAGATGAGCAGCCAGACGGCCCTGCAGACGGCCAAAGCGATCAGTCTGGAGAAGAGCCCAGCCCTGAAGGTGAGACCATGCCTTCACATCAGAGCATTCATTCCTTAAAACACGCCATCATAGAATAAATCAAAGCTGTGGAGCTTTGTCAAAGCTTTGACAGCATTTCGGTGATATTTTTCATGTGATGTTTAAACGTGCTGATCATTGTTGTATAACTAGTTTCATCATATTCTTAAAATGCTGCTGTTGTTTACAGGTCGTCAGCTGACAGGGATGGAACAGGGAATGGAGGATGTCACCGGAATGGAGTCTCATTCCCCAAAGCTCAGTGAGCAGGCTATGGATGACATTCTTCAGAGCCTGTCAGAGCTCAACATGGTGAAACCTGGACAAACCCATCAGGTGAGATCGCTCTTGAGTATGAGCATGACTGAGTGTTTTAGCAGAAGAGAAGCCCTTGCATCATTTCTTCCCACAGACGTCTTTCGAGTATCGCCCGTCAGCTGGTAATAATGGCTGTTTATAAATAAAGAGGAAACCCCTTTCACCTCCTCTCTCTTCTGTTTTTTACCCCTTTGTCTCAACCTTGTTCCTCCTTCGGGTATTCAGTTAAACTGTTATGATGCTCCAGGCCTGCATACTATTTTCAAAATCTTCATCTGACTTTAACCACTTATCACTGTCTGAACTGGAAACAATATCATACAGCCTCATTGAGACAGGGATTTCATGTGCTGGAGTGAAATTAGCTAGCAATGCACCAATATCCTCTATTATTTAAGTTTAAAACCCACTCATTCAGCAAATCTCAGTTTCACAAACTTATAGAAATGCATCTGCATATGTAACTTTTCCCATTATTCTCAATGGTAATTGAGAATATTAGATTATATATATTTTTACCTACCTTGTCAACGACTGGGTCACTATTAGGTAGGCCGTTGCACTACTGTTTAAAAGTTGGGGTCGGTAAGATTTTAACATTTTTTGAAAGTCTTATGGTTATGCTCACCAAGGTTGTATTTGTTTAATCAAAAATACAGTAAAACAGTAATATTGTGAAATACTATTAGAACATAAAATAAGTATCATGGGTATATTTGTGGCAATAGCCAACAATACATTGTATGGGTCAAAATTATCGATTTTTCTTTTATGCCATAAATCATTAGGATATTAAGTAAAGATCATGTTCCATGAAGATATTTTGTAAATTCCCTACCATAAATATATAAAGCATTTATTTACATTGTGAGTGAATGCAGCACAATCGCGAAAATAAATGGAAAACATTAAAGGCGATTTTCTCAATGTTGCGATTTTTTTGCACCCTCAGATTCCAGATTTTCAAATAGTTGTATCTCGGTCAAACATACATCAATGCAAAGCTTTTTTATTCAGCTGTCAGATTATGTATACATCTCAATTTTAAAAAATTGACCCATGTGACCCATTTTCTATTTTATTGTTTGTCTATTCTATTTTATTCTAATTTATTCCTGTGACGGCAAAGCAGAATTTTCAACAGCCATTAATCCAGTATTCAGTCACATAATCCTTCAGAAATCAATATGCTGATTTGGTGCTCAAGAAACATTTATTTTTATTATTAATGTTAAAAATAGCTGTGTTGCTTAATATTTTTGTGGAAACCACAATACTTTTTTCAGAAATATTTGATGAATGCATCCTTGCTGAATAAAAGTATTAATTTCTTTCAAACAAAACCTTTTTATTTTTAAAGTAAATGAAAGCAAAACCAATGATTTACTCACCCTCAAGCCATCCTAGGCGTATTATGACATTCTTATTTCAGACGAATACAATCAGAGTTATATTAATTAACACCCTGACGCTTCTGAGCTTTATAATGGCAGTGGATTGCAACCATTGCAAGCCTCAGATTGAAGCTCAAAAAAGTGCATCCATCCATTATAAAAGTGCTCCACACGGCTCCGGGGGGTTAATTAAGGCCTTCTGAAACGAAAGGATGAGTTTGTGTAAGAAAAATATTCATATTTAACACGCTACAATGTAAAATTCTAGCTTCCGGCCAAATGCAGTCTTACGCCTAAAGCGCAACTTACGCAACTCATGACGTCAGAAGTAGCGTAGTACGTCATGGCGTGGTGTAAATATCAGCAGTGCGTCACATTACTCACATAAGTTGTGCTTTTGGCTTAAAGGCACACTATGCAAGAATTGTACCTTAATATAACAGCTTCAAAGTCATTTCGGTGGTAAACAAACTCATAGTAGGGCAAATCATCCTGGTAGTAAAGCTTGGGGGGGACGCCGCTGGAAAAACCAGCAATGCAAGTTTGAGAGGAGCGCCCCCGACAAATCTCGCGAGAATCACGACATGCTTTATATATAGGATGTACCGAATATTCTTCAGTTTTATGCATAACAGAAATACGACAAATAGAATATCAGATCTCTGACATATGGCCAAAAATAAATGCAAAAAAAAAAAGAAGAAGCTTTTTTGCATAGTTGTGTTTGACAACACGATGTAACCTTGCTCTCACTTGAAATGTGTCCCCACATTAAGTCCTTGAATTTGAGGGTATTGGACCTGGAAAGTCCTAGAAAGGTTTTTAAATTTGAAGTTAACCATTAACCAAGGTGTGGGAACCCTGTATATTGTTATTATCTTTTATTTTTGGGGGGGGGGGGGGGGGGGTGTGTGTGTAGGGGATGTTTAATTGTTTTTTGTTTTTTTCTCGGGGGGTCAGAATGGTTAAACTGACCATTCAAGATGATTTGACTGCAGGTCCTGTTCAGAAGTTCATGCAGTAAATTATACGAGAGGAGACAGCCATAAGGATTATTTAAATAAGGTCAAAGTTATATATTAAACGAAGTCAAACTTAAAATGGTTTGATGTTTGATATCTCTCTGCCGTTCCTTACAGAAATTCCCAGTGCAGATGGCCTGAAAGCAGATAATGCATTCATTCATTTTACATATTCATTTAGCAGCAGTCCATTAATAATGCATTCATGTGTTCGTTGTCTAGCAAACATCAAAGATCCAGTGGTGATCCATTAGCTTTGTAGCTGACATTCATAACAAATGGATCTACTGGAGGATAAATGAAGACAGAATGGGAACATTCATTGTTGCCGCTTCCTTTTTTTTTATGTAGTACCTAACTGGTATCACTTTGCCATCCTGCTCATGGAAGATATTCCTGTGTGCACAATGGAGATAATAAGTGACATTAAAAGACTGTTTCATATTGGAAGTGTTTCTTACTTTTGCAGACGTGCTACTACCTCCATCCTCTGCCTCTCTTCCCTCTCATATACCCCTGAAATTAAACCTCCAGCTCCTTCTAGTGGTTAACATTGGATGTTGCACAGAAAGAGTAATTGTGTTGTTTCCTTTACTGCTTTTAGATTGAATTATGATGTGTCATGCTTGGTATATAACGTATAAAGGTTTGTGTAAGGGTAATGTTCAGGGGTGGGGACAGAAAATATCATTAGGTGAGAAAGTAGAGAGCGTTTTGATGTTCAAATCCCTAGAGCCATGTCTCTGTCTCAGTCCCTTTTATGACAGACAGAGTAAAGCTACTTAGAGAAAATTACTTTCTGTGTGTGTGTGTGTGTGTGTTTAAATGTAATTATTAGTAAATGTTCCTCTTTTTGCACTTGAGTTGACCGTTGCTTCTGTGGATCCACATATTAAAGTGCTCTTAATGCATGCAAATACGCATACACACACACACACAAACTAATTAACCCTTTACTCTTCTCTCTTTTTGCATGACTAAGAAATGGCAGCGACCAGGCAACACTGACATCATTAAACACTTACCATGACTATTAACATGCAATATTACAATTTATAAAATGGACAAGACTGTAAAATGTAAAATAAAACTTAACCAAAATCTCTCTATATTTTCTTCAATAAAAAACAAGCAGGAAAATATTATTGACTGTTGTTAAGGAGCCTCCACAAGCTTTCATGCTTGGGGTTGCCAGATGTCAAGAGTTTAAATCTCCCAATCAGAGCTTTTGTCTTAAATATATACACTATTAGGAATTTCACTGTGAAAGCTTTTGAGAGAAGCATTTTGAGTTTTACCAGTTTACATAATGTAGAGATTGTTCATTTATATGACAATATTTTCTGTCAGGAAACTAGATGAGTAAATGAGTAAAATAAACCATGCGAATGAGTTGACATTGTTTTGATTTGTGCCAATAGATGAAAGTGCTATAATTCTGATGAAATGACAACAAATCTTAAATGACAACAATCATAATCAGTAATCAAGATTACAATATTGAGCACAATAATTGTGATTATCAGTTTAACCATTATGCAGGATAATTAAAATATGACTTAGAAGAACAAAAAGAATAGCAGAGTCCACATCACAACAATAACAATAATGTCACAGAGAAACGATATTGTTGGAATCACTTTCAAACGATTTTTCCAGCTGATGAAAAAACATTGACAGCCAATCAGAATCCATCCTGCTTTAAAGAGCTCAAGCATTTAAAGCGGCAGATGACAAAACTGGAATTAACAGAACGATATAATTCGCTGGTGTGGACGCTAATATACAGTAGTTATCATTATAGTTATCTTTATAGTTCTTGTTCTTGGTGTGAACAGGCCTTTAGGGTTAGGGTTAGTTTTTTTTCTCACTAAAATCACAGACATTTTAGTCAACTAAAACTTGCCTAAACAAAAACAGGATAGGTTGACTAAATATGATCAAATCTAATATAATTAACATTAACTAATAATTAACTAATATAAATATATATACATACAGTATATTTAACTTAGACTTTAAAAATAGCTGGCAAAATGAATACTAATGTAAACTTCAAAAGTTGATGTTTCACTGGGAAAAAATGTTTTAGGAAGCAAATAGTGTTAACTTTTTTTTTCTCTTCTCTCTCTTATTCTCATTTTCCCTCTCTCAGTCTTTACAAGACCTGGAGGGTGTCTCTCTCTACACGCTATCCCCCAGCAGCCCTTGCTCTCCTACTCTCACACCTTTGGCCAGCCATCACCACCTGCAGTTACTCCAACAACAGCTGCTACAGCAGCAACAACAAACCCAGATCGCTGTAGCACAGGTAAGATGTTGCTTCTACCCTTTCTTGACACTAGAAGGGGCTACAACTCCATAGAAAATGCAGCAGTTGATTTCATATTTTCAGGCATTTTCACAATCATTTGCTTTCCACTCAGAAAACAGATTTTCTCCACAACCCTGTTCATTTTTCTCTGTTGAAATTATTTCTGATAGCCTTTGTTAAAAAGCTCTCACATACTCTATAAGCCCATATCATTCACCATATAGAGGAAGCAAAGATGAATATAGAGGAGACAGAACACAACGCTGATATGGGCAATCACCAGGCTTCTGCCACTTCATTCATTCGCCTGTTCATTTATTGGGTCCTTTTTGTCATTCTGTCTCCGACTAAAATAATATTTGTTCTCATTTGGGATACTGTATAAGGTTCAGATGATATTATAGTTCTAATGTCCTGTGTGAGAGAGAGGAAGCTGATGTGCTCTCAGCTCTGATTCAGCACAGTCATGCTACTGCATAGCAATAGCTTGGAAAAGGAGATTGATGTGCAATCACCGCCCACCCAGAGAAAAATTATATTGCTCAGAGGTTGCTCTTTCACATGGGACTTAATAGTTTTTAGTTTCTTTTAAGTATTAACCTTTTCTCAGATGTTTCTCCTAAAATTCTTTAGAAAATTTCTTAAAAAGTGAGACTAAATCAATGTGGATAGCAGTTTATTTTTAAATATTTGAAGTTTGCTAAAAAAACAAGATATTTTAAATCATATTTCATATTTTAATTCATTCCCTTAACAAATTCCATTTTTATTTAAGAATCTGGCTACTCATTATCTTGGACAACCTGCATGCATGAGGGAATTTTAAAAGTGTGATGTCTAGACCTGGAAAAGTCGTGAAAATTAATCAAATCATAAGTAATTTGATTTAGTTTTTTAATTATAAATATATAAACAAATATATATATAAACATTTTTTCAATCTCTGTAATATTTTATTGGGAAATTGCTATTTGCAAGTGTAATTATTTTATTGAATTACTTGATTATATTGCCACAATTAGTTTCTGTAAATAGACGTTTTAAAATGAACAGCGTTGTCATTATAGCAGACATATCAGAAATTTCTTCAAATATTGTCATTGACAATAGCGATAAACCTTGGAGGCAAAAAGTTTAAAGAGATCTTGATTTTTTTAAAGAGATCTTTTCCTTTCTATGGGCTGATCCTCTGCACAAATGATGAAGTCAACAAAATAAAGGTCTCTTTCATTATGCAGGAAACCACTTTAGATTCCTTAAATAAATATTGATTAATAGTGTTTAGTTGATTAAAAGTTTGATATATGTCATTGCTTCTGACACACACACACATACAACACAAGTTAGAAGTTAGAGAATCAACTCTGTAGGACCTTGATTACCTGATCTAAGATTCGTTTCACTCACCATAATCCTCAGATCATATCCTACTTGTAAGTCATCATATCTTTCAGTAAGACTGGCGTGATTCCCTATAGTCTTGACTGAGCGTGTCCCTGCTGTAGGTGCAACTCCTAAAGGATCAGCTGGCCGCGGAGACGGCTGCCCGCATGGAGGCGCAGGCCAGAACTCACCAGCTGCTGCTGCAGAACCGAGACTTACTGCAACATACATCTCTGCTGGTGAAACACCTCAGCCAACTGGAGGTCAGAGTCAGTGGAGCCACAGAGAGTAAGACTCACAACACTACCCATAATCCTGAGAGGAGTCACTTCTATAAAGCCATGCAAATGATCGAATAAAATTAGTCTCGCTACACAAATGAAATATTTGAATATTTTGCAATAAACAAAAAATATATTGTATTTTAAATTGATAATTAATTACTGATAGTTTATTGTTTTATATTGTACCATTGTTTATGATTCAGCAAGGACATATTAAATTGATTTAAAGTGACAGTAAAGACATTTATAATTTATTTATTGCTGCCGAAATATTAGCTTTGCCATCATAGAATTTTAAAAAAAATTATATTAAAATATAAAATGATTATTTTAATATGTGATATTATTACTGTATTTTGTATCAAAATTGAGTTGAAGGGAAGTGTATATTAATGAGAAATATATTAATGAGATTTTTGAAAATACGATTTTGCTTTCAGTTAAACATTATATTGTTGTGATTTATCTATGAGCTAGTTTGTTTGGTTTATTGCTAAGAACTTTTTATTTAAGATTTTTCTGCTAAGAAAATGAATGGGAAAAATACTTCCAGTCAGATCCCAGTCTGCTGAAAAAGTGGGCAGTCTATTGCACACCTTTACAGTCATAGACGCGCACACATTGTTTTTTGGCAGACTGGGATGTTATTGAGTTGGTTGGTGTACACTAATCTATTTCAGAGTTTAGTGCAGGAGTTTATTAGGTTTGATTCTTCAGCACTGGGCTCCTTGCCAACTCTCGCACTCTGAGAGAGAGAGCGAGAGAGAGAGAGAGAGAGAGAGAGAGAGAGAGAGAGAGAGAGAGAGAGAGAGAGAGAGAGAGAGAGAGAGAGAGAGAGAGAGAGAGAGAGAGAGAGAGAGAGAGAGAGAGAGAGAGAGAGAGAGAGAGAGAGAGAGAGAGAGAGAGAGAGAGAGAGATTTTTTTTTTTCAGATATCCCCTACGTTGTGGGAACAAAATGTCCCGACAAAGATGGCAATATCCAAAATCTTTGTCCTTGTGGGGACACTTTTGGTCCCCATGAGGAAAACAGCTTATAAACCATGCTAAATTATGTTTTGTGTGTGTGTGTCTGTATATACAGTATATAAGCTTATGCTTGGTGCAGTGGTGGTGGTGTACTGGCTGGTTGCTGTGACCTGTCATTAAGGCTGCGTTTACACTTAGCATTAACATCCGACCACTGTGGTCCGATCAAGCAGATCGGATCATTAGCCAATCAGGACATGGCGCGTTTACATTTGTTCACATTAAGTAGCCTCTGTATCTGGATAACCGATCGGATTTCTGTTTCCTGCTTAATATTTAAATTAGGTCTGTGGCACGACACCAGATTAAGAGTAAAGATCATACAAATTAAACAATGTCCCAATCGCTTTCTCGCTCACTTTACTTAACTCTGCAATCTCCAGTCTTAGATAAAATTAAGTTTTTTGAATGAAGGAATACTTCCAGAGTTGATCATAAAAAAATAACGGGGTTGATCATGTTAAACAAGTCACATCATCGATCATCTGGGTCTAAAGGTTATAGCCTGCAATGACTATATCTGGGAGATTGATGAACATGCTGAAACAATAAAAACATTCAACATTTAAAACATAAAAAAAAAATCAGATTCTGATTATTCCTCTGTCAAAGCAGAGTGCAGCTCTTCATTAAGATCTCATGACTGACTCTGATTGTACAGACTCTGAAAATTGACACGCATAGTATCATGTAATACAATGTTTATTGTAAGGTTCAAATAAGTTTAATTTCTTGTCTAAACTGCGTCTGGCCATTATTTTCTGACAGCCACGTGGGGAGACTGGGCGGGGATTTATATGACGTCCACCTGTGAATGCAGACTCGATGGGTGTATTGTGTTGACATTACACTGAAATCCGATCACAATGCGTCCTTGACTACCTCGGAACCTGGACAGGCTGATCGGATAACATTCCGATCAGATGTGCGTTTACACTTGTCTTTTCAATGTGTATGTGGACAACATCCGGATACAGGTCGCATGTTAATGCCAAGTGTAAACGCAGCCTTAGAGTTATTGAAATTTTCTGTCACCATTATGCCCTTGAGTGTCTGTAATTAAAGGACAACTGTACTGCCAGTCTCCCAATAGCTGATTGTTCAGTAATAAGCTTCATTTACATACTGTAAGTGTTCAAAACATTCATTTTAACATAACATCCCTTGTTATTGACTGTTTCAGGTTGGCTATTAAGACGTTTACTTTATGCCCTAAATTTGAATCTCTCTCTCTTCTAGAAGAAGAATCAATTTGGAGTAGTCTGCCCACTCGTTCTCTCTCTCTCAACCTGAAGAACCTCTACACTCCTCACTCAGACCAGCCCGTCACCTCCACTCCAGCAGGACAGCCAGAAAACCCTCCCGTCTCCTTCCACGCTGAGTCCTACCTCAATCTGCTCAATCCAGCAAATGCAAGGAGTGATGCTGGAGTGGATGCAGCGAGAAAGGAAGTTGCTAAGCTAGAAACTCGGAATTCAACTGCACTTGATGAGAGGTGAAGACACATGACAGTAGCACTTAAATGGACACACACATATGGATTAATTAGTTTTAATCTGGCATAACAACATTTTGCAACTATATATATATATATATTTGTTGCAAAAGTTTGAAGTTTTTGGAAAAAAAATACTACTTTTATTCAACAAGGATGGATTAAATTGATTAAAGGTGTCTGTAAAGACATTTATAATGTTACAAAGATTTTCTATTTCAAATAAATGCTGTCATTTAAACTTTCTTAATTTTTTAATTTATTAATAATAAAAAAATAACTGTTTCTTGATAAGCAAATCAGCATATTACAATGATTTTGAAAGATCATGTGACTCTGAAGACTGACGTATTGGCTGCTGAAAATTCAGTTTGCCATCACAGGAATAATTTACATTTTAAAATATATTAAAATAGATCAACGATATTTAAAATTGTACTTTCAAATGGTGAGCATAGGAGATTTCTTTCAAAAGCACAAAAAAATCTCCCACAACAAAAAGAAAAGGAATGTGTGACAAAGAAAGAGATCAGGAAGTGCAGAAAGGCAATGTTAGAGCACTTTTGATTGTGTTAAAAATCAGACCAATTGCTCCTTTCCGATCTGTAATTTAAACATACAGTCGGTTAGATCTGAAATTTGAGCTGTAACATCTGGACAAAATAATCACAAAGTGTGTCAGTTTGTGGAACAGAGTAGAGCAGCACCAAAACAAACCCAGAAATACAACAAAGTTAGTGAGATTCAGGCATTATGGGTCTCAGACTCTCCAAAATGTTACAAACGATTGAGCAGATGTTTATGTTTGTGAAAAATTTTACCACATTTGGCTGGTGTTTGTGTTTTCTAAAACTAGTTCACACAATCCCACCTCCTCTCTGACCTCCTCCTTTCCTCTCTCTTCCCTCTGCCTCCTTACTCCATACACAGACAGCAGACTTGTTGAAATGGATATTGGTTGTGAGCAATGTAAACAAATCTAATGAACGTGTATTAGAAGGCAGAGAGCAATTTTTTCCACTCTGTACTTCTGGACAGGTTTCCTTGAACAGTAATGGAAAATTTTGACCTTTGTTTGCATACTGCACATTCATTGCTCTCTGTGTATGGTTAGCGTAAACAGTTGTTGAGCTTTGCAGCACACATTTACACCAAAACACATTCCTTCTCTATTGCTTTTACTGCTAGTTAGAGATGTTTTGTTGCTTTACTTACCTGTCTTGGTTAGTTGTTTGTCTTATATGGCTCTATTTTGTGTAGCAAAAAGAGTGAAAGAGAGTCAATGTGAGTTTTTATGCGAATATATACGTATGTGCTTGCTTGTCGATTTGTGTGTGTCTATAAATGTTTTTAAGAGTACTATATGTGTGCGTCTGTCTGGGAGAGTGATTTATTTTACAATTATCGGTGTCCCTGTGGGTAGCTGCAGTCTCTCGCCCACAGAAAACATTTATTTTCACACTTTATTAGAGCAATTTAGATCTTGTAGAACACCACACACACACACACACACACACACACACACACACGCATACACACACCTACTGATTTGTTTATATACTCTGACAACACTCACAGCGCCAGGGAAAGACTTAAAGGATTAGTTCACTTCAGAATTAAAATTTCCTGAAAATGTGCTCACCCCCATGTCATCCAAGATGTCTTTCTTTCTTCAGTCGAAAATAAATTAAGGTTTTTGAGGAAAACATTCCAGGATTTTTCTCCATATAGTGGACTTTAACTGTTATCAACGGGTTGAAGGTCCAAATTGAAGTTTCAGTCCAGCTTCAAAGGTCTCTGCATGATCCCAGCCGAGGAATAAGGGTCTAATCTAGCGAATGACTTATCTAGTCATTTTCTAAAAAAAATTATACAAATACATATACTTTTTAACCACAAAAAGTCTTGCAATAGCTCTTCGATGCGCGTCCACTACTTCACGTAGTCACGTTGGAAAGGTCACGCGTGACGTAGGTGGAAGTACCGACCCAGTGTTTACAATGCGAACATGCAAAGACTAAGTCAAACGCCCTTGACAATAAAAAGGTAAAACATCGATGGCAGACGATTTCGAAGTTGGATGAGAAAATTAGATGGTTTTTGAACCGGAGTACACAGACAAAGAACTTAGACAGATGGGTGAAACTGTGTGTTCAGTGTCCCCACCACTTTTTGCCAGGGTTGATTGTGTCCCCACCACTTTTGAAACATCTCGCGGCACGGATGTACCAATACAAATAAATAAAACATCTCCAGTTAACTCTAGCAGAGCATTCATTTCGTTCGTTTGTTAAATAAGAGGCAATCTAGCGCTGAAATGTGTTGTTTTTGAAATCAAATGATCAAAGTGCTCACTGCCGCTGCTATCAGTGGCGCGGATACAGTGTTCTGTTGTGGCTCGCGCAGTCTCCACACGGACGCGCGCTTCAATCCGTTGCAGAGAGACACTCTATTCGTTACGGTGAAATCACAAAACATAATGCACACGAACGTGTCCCTGCTTGTTATATAACCACTGATAAACAATCGGTTTTGATGAGAGAAAAAAAACCTATACTACTTAGTGGGGATTAGAACCCAAAACCTCTGACACGTTTGGCAAAAGTTCTGCCACTGGACAATTAAAGTACATAGGCAAGGCAAGGCAAGGCAAGTTTATTTATATAGCACATTTCATACACAATGGCAATTCAAAGTGCTTTACATAGAAGAAATTAAAATAATCAAAACAAATAAGAATAATTAAAACAGTTTAGAATAAAAAATCAAATAAAGTAGTACTGGTCCACCCCTATCTGAGATGGAAGAGATTGAGCCGGTTTACGGTGCCACTGGACCTCAAGCCCAGGGACGTACTCTGCTGGGGTGGTGCTACACCAGTAATGCCCAGCGGGGCCCCCACAGAGCACGCTTCGTGTGCGCTGTCTGCTGCCGTTACCCTTAACGACGCTCTCAGCGACTTCTTATACAGCAGTATAACTTACTCCTTCACTCGCCTCATTGGAGTGAAGACTCTCCCGCTCTCCTTCAAAATCTCTTCCAGAGATTATAAAAATAAGTAAATAAATAAATTAGAAATTAGAAAACAAGCAAAGACAAAACCAGTACAGTAAAAACACTAGGACGGACAGTGGCACAGTGCTCATTCAGTAAATGCATAGCTAAACAGATGTGTTTTGAGTCTGGATTTGAAAGTGACTACTGTAGGAGCACATCTGATCTCCTCTGGAAGCTGGTTCCAGCTGCGGCTGACATAATAGCTAAAAGCAGACTCTCCTTGCTTAGAGTGAACCCTTGGTATTTCTAACTGATGTGATCCTAATGATCTGAGTGATCTGTTAGGTTTATATTCAGTGAGCATATCTGCAATATATTGAGGTCCTAGCCCATTAAAAGATTTATATACCAGTAATAATACTTTAAAGTCAATCCTAAATGTAACTGGGAGCCAGTGTAAAGACTTGAGGACTGGTGTGATGTGTTCATATTTTCTGGTTCTGCTCAGAAGCCTGGCAGCAGCGTTCTGTATGAGCTGCAACTGTCTTATGGTCTTTTTAGGAAGGCCAGTGAGGAGTCCATTACAATAATCGGTGATAAAAGCATGCACAAGTTTCTCTAAGTCTTGATTGGAAACAAAGCATCTAATTCTTGCAATATTTTTCAAATGATAGTATGCTGATTTAGTTATTGCTTTGACATGACTACTGAAACTAAGGTCTGACTCTAGAGACACACCAAGATTCCTGACTTGATTTTTAGTTGTTAGACCCCTAGCGTCAAGGTATGCATTCACCTTGAGAACTTCATCTTTGTTTCCAAACGCAATAACTTCAGTTTTGCCTTTGTTTAACTGAAGAAAGTTTTGGCACATCCAACTGTTGACTTCATCAATGCATTGGCACAGGGAGTCAATGGGGTTGTAATCGTTAGGCGATAGGGCTAAGTAGAGCTGTGTGTCGTCTGCATAGCTGTGGTAAGCAATTTTGTTCTTTCTCATTATTTGGCTCATTGGGAGCATATACAGGTTGAACAGGAGTGGTGCAAGAATTGAGCCTTGAGGGACTCCGCAAGTCATGGATGTCCACTCAGACTTATGGTCTCCTATACTCACATAATAACCTCTCCCTTCTAAGTATGACCTGAACCATTTTAGGACTATCCCAGAAAGCCCCACCCAGTTTTCCAGCCTGTGAAGAAGTATGTCGTGATCAACAGTGTCAAATGCAGCACTGAGGTCGAGTAGTACCAGCACTGATAATTTGCCTGTATCAGTATTTAAGCGAATATCGTTTATTATCTTTATGAGCGCTGTCTCTGTGCTGTGATGCGATCGGAAACCAGATTGAAAATTGTCAAAGTATCCATTTGAGCTTAAGAATTTGTTCAGCTGATTGAAGACAACTTTTTCAATGATCTTGCCTATGAAAGGAAGATTTGAGATCGGTCTATAGTTGCTCAAGATGGTCTTATCCAGATTGCTCTTTTTCAGGAGGGGCTTGACAACTGCAGTTTTCAGGGAGTTTGGAAAACTCCCAGAGAGAAGTGAGGCATTTACCACTTCTAGGAGATCTGCTTCTAAGCTGTTTAACACACTTTTGAAAAAAGATGTGGGAAGTGCGTCAAGGGCGCAGGTTGATGTTTTAAGGTGCTGTACGGTTTCTTCCAAAATTGTGCCTTCAATTTCTTCGAAAACAGACAAAGTAACTACTTTCTCAGGTTGTGGTCTGATCTGTCTGACCCCAGCGCAACTCAAGGATGAGCTGATCACCTTTCTAATATTATTGATTTTCTCAGAGAAGAAAGAAGCAAACTCACTGCACTTGCTGTCTGAGAGCATTTCACTGGGAATCTGGCTTGGGGGGTTTGTCAGTCTCTATAGTAGCAAAAAGTGTGCGTGTGTTGTTTAAGTTTCTGTTTATAATATTCGAGAAGAAGGTCTGTCTAGCTTTGCCTAGTTCAATATTAAAAGCATGGATGCTGTCTTTGTAGATGTTATAATG